CATGACAGTAATCGAGCCAGATGTTGGTGCAGGAAACCAGAATCAAGACGACAATAATGTTTGTGATGCGGATTGAATTATAAACACTCCTGGTGGTGTTGACGAGAGGGATAATGGTGAAAGAGGGAGGAACAACAAAAGAGATATCAGCCAGTTGGCAAAAGCTTTGGAGATGGATTTAGATTCCAAGAAGACAGATAATAATGGAGGCGGAGATGATGAGAGTGGGGGATTCTTCGATTGTAACATATGCTTGGAGATGGCGAGGGATCCTAATGGTAGCCTGGGGTAGCATGGGCTACCCCTAAAAAAAGTCTCGAGTAGTGCCCCCAACCCACAACTTTCATATGTCGTATCCTTCCCTCCTTCCATTAGCGACTTTTTTTTTTCCGTAATAGGTCCCCTGCCATTGTTGATCTCGACTGCACCGCATCCTCTAGTCCTCTTATATTAGCAATCTGTTATTAGGTCGTCATCTCTTCTCACAGGCCCATCACACATTGCTTATGATCACAAGAAGCCTGTCGCCATCAGTTCTCCTTGCAGCCAATGCTTTGCTCGTGATTTTTAAACGTTTTGTAAACCTTTACATCATGATCCAAAATGAAACTTTAGGTATGGATTGCTTTCTTACTCGCTCTCTATATATGTATCATATCCCAACAATCAACTCAGTTTTTCTTGTGTATAACTGTATGAACTAAGCAAGTATTTATATGGAATAATTTCATGCAAATTATGTGTTTGATGAAATGCCTTAGTGAATCCCTGTTTAGAAAGAACTTTAAGTTGCATTTTTTATTCATAGATGAGAACTGAAGTCCCTTGGATCCTGTTTTTGAGTTGTTGGTTATTTGTGGATCAACTTATCTGATGGTTCTTCCCCTCACTATTAAGTTGGTGTTGTTTTATTTCTTTTGTTTGGTCATTCTCTGATTTGGACCTTTTTGCCCTATCTTTTGTTTTTGGTCCTCTGATCTTTAGATTAGGTTGTCTTTGTTGGTTTCTTCCTCATTTGTTTATTGTTTTTAATGGTTTCTCTCTTAGGCTTTGCTTTTTTAATGTTTCTTTTTGTTTGTAGTTGTCTTTTTTTTTGTTCAACCTCTAGCTGGATCTTAGAGTAGGTTGCCTTTGTTGGCTTAAATTTTCCATACAAAAAAATCATATTAAATATTAGTAATATTACATTGTAAAAAAAATTTGTGCTACCCCTTTACTTTTTGTCTAGATCCGCCACTTGCAGTGGTCACTTATTTTGTTGGAGTTGCTTCTATCAGTTGTCATATGTAGATTCAAGTGCAAAAGAATGCCCAGTTTTCTTCACACTTTTTACTAGATTTATGATTGTTATAATGTCTATCTGGTTGCTAGAGTCTCCACAAACTGTGGAGTCAATATAGGGGAATACTTTTGTGAAATTTGCAAATAGGTGTTATTTTTTTCTCCTTTAATAATATTTTTTTTCAAGGCATTCAGGGCCTTCATGCAATAGGTGTTATTTATGATTTCCATTGAACCAGCTCCTATGCTTGAAGATAAAGAGAAATGGTTTGTCCATTTCTCTTGTTTTAATATCATCAGTTCTGATTTTAATTTTGTGTTTGTGTTTGCATTTTTTGTTTTTTTTTTATATATTTTTAATAATCTTTCATGGTCCAGGTCTCTTGTGTTCCATGATTTCATTGCAAAATGCCCTACAAAAGACCCTCGTATTAATCCACTGCTTTTGAGCTGTTAAAGGTATGCTGGTGTAGCTTTATCTTATACATTATATAAATCACAAATATACCCTTCTGTTTGTAATATACACACTTCACTTGAAACTGCATAAATTCATAGAAAAATGAAAATCTGGAGCTTCTGCAATGTTGCCCAAGCTTGAGAAGGCAAAGATAAATATGGCTGCTATGGCTTTCGAAGCAGAACATGTTGCTTCAGAGACTAGTATACTAGGATATGGGGGAATATAACTATATATTTATATTTATGTCTATTTATTATTTATTTTTTATCTCTTTATTTACTGTTGTGTTATGCACACATAATCTTGGAGCAAAAATGAATGAAGAATATGGAGATACTGTTCCATCTATAAGCCTCAAGTCCATAATGGGTACCTCTTGTGGTATTTTCAAGTGGTGGGTTGAAGTTATTAGGAATCCCTATGAGGTAAGATTAAAAAATCTTAAAGAAAGTCCTCATGATGTTTTCATGAGGTAGGTTTAAAAAATCTTGACTTTTATACTTTTTTTTACCTTTTTGTTCATATTTTCCCAGGGGATCAAAGTGACTTACATGTCATCATTTTCGATGAAGTTGATGCAATTTACAAGGTATGTCAATCCCATATTTTAATAACCAGACATTTTTTAATTTTTTAATTTTCATTTTCAAATATTCATCATAATTTATTTTTGTAAACTTGCAGTCTAGAGGTTCTGCTACGGATGGCACAGGGGTGCACGATAGCATTGTGAATCAGCTCCTTACAAAGGTTTGACCAACCATTTAAAGTCAAACTGTATAATCAACAAAAAGGAATTAAATTAACACTGAATTTCAAAAATCCATTTTTTAGATAGATGGTGTGGAAGCGCTGAACAATGTGTTGCTCTTTTGAGGTGAGTCCATTAAAAAATCTTGTTAACTAACTTTTACTCTTTTACCATGTTTGTTGACGTGTCATCTCCTAATTGGCTAGGCCTGGTCGTTTAGAAGTCCAAGTGGAAATCAGCCTTCCAGATGAAAATGGTCTTCTCCAAATTCTTCAAATTCATACAAACAAGATGAAAGAGAATTATTTCCTACCTCCAAATTCTTCAAATTCATACAAATAAGTGTTTTGATGGAATCAACTTCATATGAGTAAGTTCAAATATTTCTTCTTATTCAATATTGATAAACTATAAATTTGAATCTTCCTGTTGATGATATTGAAGACATAAAGAAACCATAAAAGGCATAATAAGAAAGGAGAATTTACATTTTATGTTTATTTGATGAATATAACATACTACTCACTGTTAAAGAAACGATCATTTTTATAACTGAAACATTATATGCAATTTTTTTCTCAGGTTGGGGTGACAAAGTTCAACACACAGGTGATGATATTGATAAAATCCGTGAAGAATGATCGAATTTTTTTACAGACTTCATTTACCTGTGATATTTTGTATCCACAAATAATATAACAGTGAAATGTTAGGTAACATTTGCCTTTTGAAGTGTGATGTACAATGTTTTTGTTAACTTTGTGAAATATTACATAGCATCCTCTTTTGACATGTAATGTACATACAATGTTTTTGATAACTTGTTTAACATTTTGATGAAATTGAATGTTTGGTATATGGTAGTTTAAATTTTATGCAATGGATTGTATTTTTTTTTTGTATATTGTATTTTATTTATATTATGCGATATTAAATGCAAATTTAATTTAAAAATTAATAAATATATAAATATTTTTTTTAACAATTAAATTTACGATACGGAAAAATGAGTGTCATCTTCATTTATGACATGACCTTTCTTGACATGGGTTTTAATGATACGCATTGCGTGTCATAAATGCGTGTCGTAAATGCGCGTCGTCTCTCGTTATGACATGACCTTTCTTGATGCGCATTTGCGCATCGTCTGAGCGTTTTACGACACGAAATGAGCGCTGTAAAAAGCCTTTTTTCTAGTAGTGGTGGTTGTTGGTGGTTGACTGTTGAATTTGGTCGTTGACTGTTGACTTTTGACCAGTTTGACTTTTGGTTAAACTTGATGGTTTTAGGTTGTAGAGTGAGGTGTGGCCTTTGATTGTTGTAAGTGGTTTGGGTACGTAGTTGATTTTGCATGACTTTGAGTATAGTCTTTTTAGCTATTTGATCATGTGAGTTTTCTGATTATACTATGTGGACACAGGGTGTTGATTTATGCTTTAATGTATCTTAGCTATTTGTTGTATGCTTACATGCTTGTTTGGTTAGGCCCGCGTGATTAAAACATGGCTTTTTGGGCTAGGCCCACTATTTGTATGGTCTATGGTATTTTAGAGAACTCACTCAGTTTTGTGTTTACAATTTCAAGTAGTTTCGATAACAAGGGGAAGAGTGCGACATGATTTTATCGCATCCATTGGAGTTTTCCGCATTAGTTGACTTTTGTGTTTAATACTGTTGATATTTGGTTTTGAAATTTCAAACTAATACTTTGGTTATCTTTTTTCTTTTATCTTGGAATAAACTTGGAATGGTTTCAATATTATATTTAAAAATGAAAAACTTGTTCTGTATTTTGAGAAGTTACAATAATAAATTCAACAAGTACAAGTAAATATATGACAAAGTAATCAATAAAACCTCCAACACATTGGAATCATATGTCATTTCTTTTTTGCACACTATGTCCGAAATATGAAGATATCTCAACATATATTTTGGAATCTCATATGAAGTGGGCACTCAATCTGTAACTCGAGAAGGAATGAGTTGCACCGAATAACTCCACTCTGAATTGCACCATTCCGGAGTAGTGGTCATTATGCAAATAATAATAATAATAATAATAATAATTAGGTTAGTTTCTTCAAATTGTTTTATCAATTTGGTTATTTACTCAATTTCCCTATATTATAACCCATTTAGGCTCCAAAAAAATCAAACATATGAAAACATGTTTACATTTTGATAAGAAACACGTTGGTTTTGACCATGTCCTTGTCTTGTATATTTGATATGCTCATCGGTTTGCATATATATTTACAAATGGACTTTCAACATAGTTATTTATTTGTAAACTTTTGAAACAATTTAAGCATTCCTGAACCTTTCACTTAAACCGAGGGGTAGTGTTAAATACACTAAGTTTCTTAATAATTTACATAATCATGTACAGCTTAGGGTCTTTTATGTAAATTACTGTATTTCTACTTTATTATTTAAAGCAACGAAATACAAAGCAAACTCTTGACAATTATTTTCACAATTCAGCAAGCACAATTGAAAATGCCTCGTGAGTTACACATTTGTTGGTGATTTTACTTATATCAAGCTTTTTAGATAATTTGGATTTATAAAATACTTAAATCCCACTCTATAGGTGCAGAGAGGACACTCGTAACCATTGAAAAAGATATCAGGTAGTAAAGAAAGAAGACATGTGTTACTTGACATAGTGACATTCATTTTCAAAACAATGAAAAGAGCATCTTCGTTTCCATTTTAAACAAAAAAACATCATTAACCCATTGACTTACAACCATCTTATATATATTTATCCGCACTCCCTAGGATAAGTCATGTAGTTCACCACCATATTAAAAACAAAATTACAAATTTTTTACTGTATTTAAACATGCAAGGAGTAATAACACGGACGATAATCCGCACCCCTATTGACAATCTCATTTCTGTTGGGCTGCCTTTCCCTTACTCTTCTCCATGTAGAAGAAACCAGCCAAAGCGACTATGGAAAAGGCAGAAAAGCAGACAGATGCAATGTCAAGCGATGCATGGCGACCTGTGATTGCTTGGATCTGGAACAAATTCGTCTCTTTTTTATCATTTGTGGTCTGGCCAAAGGCTACCTCTTCATCTTGAGCATTGAACGCATAGGCCCTCACAAAATATGTTCCAGTAGGAATATCTCTCTCTACAGTCCATGTAAAGGAGTTGTTTGATGCAGTGTATGGCTTAGCCACAATCTTTACGAGACAAGTCTTGTCCTTTTTCATTTCGTCGACTGTTTTCCTCCATGAACGGTCTTTTTGACTGATGGGTGCATAGCATAGTTTCACTTTTACGGTCTTGTAGGCCGAGTCTGTCCCAGCTTGGATTGTCCGGTTTAATCCCCATGTCACTGTAATATCTGCATCTCCAGCCTTGAGAACTGTAAAACCGAATTCAATGATATTTAATCAACAAATAAATTTATTCATAAAAATGGTTTTGGAAGGAATATGAAGGAATCATAATCTGTAATGTGTTCTTTAAGATTAGACTCAGATTTGTGGTCAAACCTTGCCCCTCTTTGGGTGAAGCGGTGACTTCAAGAGTTCTCTTAAGGGAAGTGAAGGTAACACCGTAGCCGGTAGTTGCAAAGCAAGAGAGAAGGAGAGAAACAACCAGGAAACGAGCAGGAATCTCCATTGATGATGATGTGGTAGACTTTTAAATCCTTTGATTGCAATCTACTTATGATCAGATGATGAGAAGAGGAATATGCCTTAGAGCATCTATATATAGAAATATAGAATCGATCCCGTGATGCAAGGTATAAACAAATTAATATAAAATCCTTTAAAATTTACAGTTAATTAATGAGGAAGAAAGTAAAATATAAGCCACCTGACTTTCTAGGAATTTAATATAATTGTATTTAATAGAGTTGCATGAGTACACATTGGAAGTTGACCCTGTTTATGTGGTGATATCACATAGCTCTTACGCATGTTGAAGAGATCAGATTATTTGGATTTTAGTTGGATATGTGACATTCGTTGACATGTTTTTACAGAAACAAATCGATTAAGTTGACTTTTGGCTTTGCCCTCCAATGCATTGAAAGATCATAAGAAGCGAAAACGAAACGAGTCTCACGAGTTATATGGACCTTTACGATACCACTTAAGGCACAAGGAGCTACAAGTCATGAGGTACATGACCAATTTGGTGGACCTTTGGTTGTCTTTTGAAAATCAACTAATCAAGTTGTATTGGTTTAACATTTATTACTTGAATTTAATTAGTTCACAAAGGTTTTATAGTTTTTAGGGCGTGCATCGGGTCAAAACCTGACCGGTGAAACTGAAAAATACAAAAATAACAAGAAACCAAAATTAGATGAGCGTTAACGGGTTCGGTACCAATCTTGTTAATTACGGTTTAAATTGGTTCATACCAAACCTCATGATGAATATAAGAGTATCTACAAAATATATATATATATATATATATATATATATATATATATATATATATATATATATATATATATATATATATATATATATATATATATACATATACATATATAGGGGAGAGTTCATGCGAAAATGCAAATAATTTGCGAAAACGTGAAAACAAGAAAAACCAATGATATTGTGTCACCTCAACATTATATTTTGAAAAATAATTCATCCAAACTTTGAAATATATGATGATAATCGATGATAGATGATAAATTGTTTCATATTAGCAAAGTATGATTTTTAACATTTTTATTAAGAAAACATGAATTTAAAAATGATTAAGGACGTAAAAAAATATAATTATCAAAACCGTCTTTAAATCTATATTACCATAACATCGTCCAATGTAAACTTACTATATTTAATTTATTGCTAATAAATTTATTTTTTTATAGTACATGTGCTTGATTTTCACAAGATAAAATCTGTTTTCGCGTTTTCGCAAGATATTTATATTTTCGCATGAACCTACTTCTATATATATATATATATATATATATATATATATATATATATATATATATATATATATATATATATATATATATATATATATATATATATATATAGGGTTAGGTTCATGTGAGACGACCTAATTTTATGAAACCGTGAGACGCATTTTTTTATTTTTTTTATTTTTAAAATTTTTTTTTAGTTAATTCAAGTTCCGAAAATAATATTTAAAAAAAGAATTTTTTGATTTTTTCATTTATTTTGCATTTTAAAATTATTTTTAGAATATGTACAGTGTAATATTCTATTTAGAATATTTCACGTATTAAAAAAAATAGATTTTTTTTTAATTTTTTTAATTTTTTTAATTTTTTTTAGTTAATTCAAGTTCCGAAAATAATATTTAAAAAAAGAATTTTTATATTTTTCCATTTATTTTGCATTTTAAAATTATTTTTTAGAATATGTCAGTGTAATATTCTACTTAGAATATTTCACGTATTTTTTAAAAAAAAAAAAACAACGGGATATTTTTTTATTTTTTTTTAATTTTTTTTAATTTTTTTTTAGTTAATTCAAGTTCCGAAAGTAATATTTAAAAAAAGATTTTTTGGATTTTTCCATTTATTTTGCATTTTAAAATTATTTTTAGATTTGGTCTTACGGTCTCACAAAATTAGAATGGTCTCAAATGAACCTGAACATATATATATATATATATATATATATATATATATATATATATATATAATATATATATATATATATATATATATATATATTAGTTAAATGGTTAAATGAGATGGAATGACTAATTGGTATTCAAAATTTTAATATATATATCATTACATTTTTGTATATTTCAAGTCATTATTGGAGAAAAAAATAATAAACTTATATAAAAAGTTGAATGATTTGGAAATCAATTAAACTCTAGAGTTAAGTGTATTATGTATGCCTTAAAACATTCATAATATGTTGTTTAATGGAATGGTTCCGAGCCCGACGATCACGAACCGCTGACCGTTTCTAGTTAGATTCTATCAAATCACGCTACTAATGTGAGTACATGATCCCTTTCATGAACATGATTTTAATACAAGTGTTAAATATATGTGTGTGAAATATTTGTTATTGTCTGAATTACGTGTTAAGAGCATATGAGATAATATGTGATGATTTAGGATACATAATAAACCTAAATTAATTAATAGGAATATTGGGTAGTATCTTCTTAGGAGCACGAGTGAGATATACATGGAGGGTAGAACTTTAAAATATGTCATTTATCCGGGAGTATGGATTAAGACATAGTCATTCCTCCTTAGTTCGAGAGTAATGATAGGACATAGTTATTTGTTATTAATTGGGGAGTATGGATTAAGACATAGTTAATTGTCCCTAGTTCGAGAGTATGGATTGGGCATAGTTATTTGTCATTGATCCAAGATTATGGATTAGACTTATTCATTTGTCCTTAGTCCGAGAGTATGGATAGGACATAGTTATTTGTTATTAATCCGGGAGTATAGATTAAGACATAGTTAAATATCCCTAGTCCAAGAGTATGGAATGGGCATAGTTATTGATCCGGGAGTATGGATCAGACATACCCGATCTGAGAGTATGGATTAGGTAAAGAGGTAAATTTTAGTTCCGAGAGTACGAATTAAGTAAAGAGGTTGATTTTAGATCCGAGAGTATAGATCGTGTTGTTGTGAGGAACTGAGGATCGATAGGGTGGGATAAAGTTGCTTATATATGGTGGAATTGTATATTTTGTGAGTTCTAATATATATATATATATATATATATATATATATATATATATATATATATATATATATATATATATACATACATACATACATATATATATATATATATGTATATATATATATATAACATTGTGGGATTGAAATCCCTATGTACTCACCAGGTTTCCCAACCTGACCCACTCAGTCTATTTGTATCACAGGTATCGATACGAAGCTATATTACACTAAGATATTAAAAGAGATGTAGATCACTAGTATAAATGAATATAAGGTCTGTTTATGCTTATGTTTCTGTATTGACAATGACATCCCAAAGTTTTAATATAAATAAAATACATTTCTTCAGAAATGCTTAGATAATATGTTTATCATGTTTTTCTGGGAACAAATTCCGCAATATTTTTTCTTTAAAAATGAATACTCTAATTTTCAAATAAGCATAAATAAATTTTGAAAATGATCGTGAATTAGGGGATGTCACAGCTCCTCCAGCGAAACATAGGTAATTGGCTTGCTTGTGGATCCTCTGATTACAATGGAAGAAAATCTGATCAAATACGTACATGGTGTGACATCGCATACTAAAGTGGCAGGTCTTGACTCACTTGTAGCAGCCGTACCTATCCATCCTACAAACTTAGTCATGCGCCTAGCTGCACATGCCATAGCGGCCTCGACTCTACCGGCCTCTCGATCGTGAATCAACAACCTTGGGATTCTTGCTTGATCCCTTTGATACCTATGCCTAAACCTACTTCCTCTTCCTTATAGTCTCCAGATCAATCTCCCACTCGGGAGCCCAAGCTATCATGTCATCCAATGTCTTGTAGCTAGACATACTCAGAAACTCCCGTATCTTATCCTTCATCATAACATGCTATTGGTCATTCTTCATATTCTTGGTCTACTACGTACTACGGAACCAACAAGGCCCTCTCACAAAACTTGGCATTGATCTCTGCCACAGTCTCAGTAGTCTGGTGAAGGTACTAAAACTCCCTCGCCGACTGCTAAACCTCTGTCACGGGCTAAAACTTAGCCTTGAATCGCATAATAAATTCATCCCAAGACATTATTTTAAATGCATCACGTCCCAAAGCATAGTCCACTTCCTCCCACCAATCATTAGCCCTGTCCTTCAGAAGACAGGATGCAAATATGATCTTCGACCCCTTGGGGCAGAAGCTAGTCTGGAAGGCGTTCCTGATGTCCGTCAACCACTGTCTGTTAACAATGGAGTCCTTTATTCTGAAGAAATCGGGATCCCTACATGCACGAAACTCTTGGAAATTCAAAGATCGTCTCTCCACCATAACCACTACCTTGGTGTGAAACGTGCCTAGACGCTCATCCAAAATCTCCAAGATGCCCTCTTGGATCGAACCAAAGATCAAAGGAGTCTGCTCCAAAATGTTTCAGGTAATCTCATATGAAATGAACTCTCGCATATGATCATCCAACGGTCCAACTCCAAAGGCTGAACCTGATCCCTCATCAGGACCTAAACTACATCGAGTGATTGTCATACTAAAAATAAAGCATGCAAACATTCAGAAAACACTCAAAGAATCTCACACCATGCAGGTCTCTTAGTATCCTCGTGACTCCCTTGAATTAAGTACATATCTTGTGCTTCCAATAGTATAGGCCCAATACTACCTTCCACACTTATATTTACTTTCCTTAAGAGTCATCTCAATTCCCTAAGTGACACCCTAAATTCCAACATTCCATAATCCCACTCAACCATGCATCTGCTAATGCTAACATGCTTCCTAGGTTCTCCTAGGATTCCCTTCCCACCACTCTTCACCATCAGCTGCAAAAGAAACCCCCACTGATACCTGCTAACTATCTTATGAATATAGTTGCATGCAACAGACACTATATAATTCCTTGATTGTAAGGTTTCACACTACAATGGTTGGACTCAAACAAGAGTTGTGCAATAAAGTTAAACTTAACATTCTAAAATTATCTAAGTTCTACAACATGTAACCTAACATATTCCCTTAATACTTAACTAGTATTAGCAGTGGTTCCAAAATGCAAAACGCAAATATCATTCGAGCATCGAGTTCTAACCAGAGCACTGCCTATCAGGCTATCCTAACATATCATCTGAAATCCATACTATCATGC